GCAAGATACAATCCTTTGGTGAATTATAGTCGTGATAAAAGACTTATCGTGGAGGAATACCTTCAGCACCATCACATTATGGATATCTTTGAGGTGAGGTTTAAGCCATAACTTCAAATAGCAAACCTAATAAATGAGCGTATTATTGGTGCCTAAGTGACTTTTTCATATTTTTGATCCAGATTAAAGTCATTTGCATAACGTAATTAGCTCTTCTTATTACGCTACCATCGATCTATAAAACTGATCCAATAAATCGATTTCCAATAGGCCCTATTAGGTGGGCTCTGTGTTATTCGCCCTCTAGGCCCCAAAGAATGGATGAAGGAAAACCTGAGAAAACTCCAATCGATTCCCTATTTTCAATGGAGCATGTAAGTGAACAGTTTCCAAGAGATATATCGATTTTATTCAGCGAGATTCTCATTCCAAAACAGCTGCGACCAACAGGAACAAAGCAGTGGAAACGGTTTGATTACCAGAAATTTATTGTAAGGATCTGAATATTTTCTTTGGGTAACTTGTTCTACTCTTGAATATCTAAAAATATCCTCAATCCACCTGGGTAAATTCACCTCTCCCTATAAGTTGTAGCAAATTGCTACATCAATAAGCCTTGTACCGGATCGCTACGCTAGTAAAGCCTGACTGACTCAGAAATCTCTGTGGCAGATTCCCTAAGTAAAGCCTGACTGACTCAGAAATCTCTGTGGCAGATTCTTCTACATCTAGCTAGACTCCCAGAGCAAGTTAAGTTATAGCCCAGTTATGAAGGAAACAGTCGCGAGGCATGGAGCACGTTTACTCAGTACGTACATTGCGGATAAAGTGTACACGTAGGGGGCTTAATCATGATCAGGATGGGGGATTAGGTTAAACAGAGGTTAATGATTGGTCACTGTCTGTACGGTCGCTGCACACAGAGTTATACGACCGCATCTCCCAATCCTGGCATGCAGGCATACGATGACGCACAAAGCGATAACGTGTCCCACAGCCTTGACTTAAGCTCAGTAATCTCTATAGCAAAAAAAATTTTATTTTGGATTGGTTCCTAAGGTTAACCAAGATACCGCAAAGCTATAGAGGAAGCAGAGGTAATGGAGTGGAACACGTTTATTTTGGCACTGTCTGTCACAGAGCTTAGTCATTAATTTTGATTGATTGGTGGCTGGCTAGGAGGTCTCTGCACCCATGACCCCACTTGCTCCCTGCGTGATAAGTAGCTCGGCCCTCCCTCGAGTCTGTCTGAGTGCGCATGATACTCCATTATTCAGCCGACAGCGTTATGCACTCTGCATAGTTAAGAGCCATGATACTAAAAATATTGAAAATTTTATTTTAACATAGTATAGCATATTTGCTTAAACTTAGCAGAATGTTACCTCATTTTGAGACAACTTTTGAGCACTTTCATTTAAGTGTAATCAATTTTTTACGTTTATTTATCAATAAAAGCTCAAGTACCTTGGTCCACCTTCGGATCCAGTGAAAATGGCAACTGCGCGTGACTTTTCACGAAAACATGAGCTAATTCGGTTCTTCAGGTGAAATTGTGCTTAGGCCCATGAACGAATGGCCGCTTTTATTGAAGTTGCATATAGCATTCTCCCCTTCCCTTAAGAACCTGGAGACAGACGGTCAAATCCATCGTGGAAATGGAAGGTGCAGACGTTCGACATAAAATGGCTGATATTCATTGTTCTGAGCAGATTTCGAAAAAAGTTTTTCTCACTTGGAGGAACTATAGCCGAAAACGGAAGCAGAATATTCAGGGTTCGAACATAAATTTTGTTGTATACATGCAGAAAGTAATTGAAAGTTGACTGTTATTATTATTATTATTATCTAAGGCCGATAAGTGAAATAACCTGTGGGACACATTATAAATGACCAAATAGAAATCCTGCTATAGAACCCTACTCAGAAATATTTTAGCTATTAATGTTCACACGAATTATGCTAGAGTTATCTGATAAGTAATCGCTTTGCCAAACTCAACACTTCGCTATCAATATGCCGTACTGAATAAATGTATTGCGTGCTACACATCGGTTTCCCTTATAGCTGGGCTATAGCTTAGGCAACACGTCTGTTTCCTTTATAGCTGGGCTATAGCTTAGCTGAATTATACGTCTGTTTTCTTTATAGCTGGGCTATAGCTTAGCTAGTTCGGGAGTCTAGCTAGATGTAGGAGAATCTGCCAGAGATTTCTCGGGAGTCTAGCTAGATGTTGGAGAATCTGCCATAGAGACTTGATTTCTTTATAGCTGGGCTATAGCTTAGCTGGTTCTGGGAGATCCTTTCATAGCTGGGCTATAGCTTAGCTGGTTCTGGGAGTCTTTCATAGCTGGGCTATAGCTTAGCTGGTTCTGGGAGTCAGCCTATAGCTGGGCTATAGCTTAGCTTATTCTGGGAGTCTAGCGTAGCTGGGGTATAGCTTAGCTGGTTCTGGGAGTCTAGCTAGATGTGGGCTATAGCTTAGTTGGTTCTGGGAGTCTAGCTAGATGCTGGAGAAACTGCCATAGAGATTTCTTCGGTCAGGCTTTACTAGCGTAGCAATCCGCTACAATGCAATCCGGTCAGGCTTTACTAAGGTAGCAATCCGTTACAATTCTCAACCGGTCTGGCTTTACTAAGGTAGCAATCCGCTACAAGTCTTTAACCAGGTCAGGCTTTACTAGTGTAGCAATCCGCTACAAACCCAGCAAGTTGCCTAAATTTAAGCTTTGTAAGAATCCTTAACACTGAAGCATATAAACACTGTTTTGTTTTTAGAGGTTAACAACTTAATGAGCCGTTTCAAAATGAACTTACAAATGATCGCAGCTTTCCGGCTACTAAAAGTCGCAGCGCTTGAAGATGGCCTTGTAAGCAATATTTTGACTTACTGATGTAGATAAACAAATCGCCCCATCACTCCCAATTTCCTATAAAGCTGATTAACTCCTTCCTAATGTAAGCAACAAAAATTGGCGAAAAAACAGTTACTTTGTGGTACAATATGAAGCGTTAACCGTCAACCCTGGGCTTACGAAAATGCCGCGCAACCAAGAAGGAAGGACAAACGAAACCATGGAGAATGAAGAAATTTAAATGTGTGATTGTGTTTTTGAAAACTTATTTTACCCTTGTCAAGAGTGATCAGCTGTCTAGGCGGAATTACGCCAAGTTTTATCGTACGAGTGACCCTAGTAAGAAAAAAATTTAGTGTCAGGAACAAGTGTATGCCACTAGTTGTCTGCTTTCAAAATTAACTACGGTAGTATGCTCTCAAGGATAAATTCGGGAGACTCGACACGTCACGAATTTAGAGGAGAGACATTCATTAGGCCAATTTTCTCTCATGAGATATAAGGTATAAGTAGATCATGTGCTGGCAACTCACAACCAAACTTTGCTTCATTTTATTTTAAGACATGGCGAGTTGAAAGCGTGGCGTGTTCAAACATCCGATTTCCGAATTTAGACACCTCTTGGCCTCCCTGATGTTTCCATTTGTCACTCCGCTGTTGCAATTTCCACTTCGGGGTGTTCGGAATACACGGCATAATTAAACTGGCAAATTTCAGCTGTTGCTACAATGTTATTATTTTAGGCTTCGTCGCAAAGTCACGTTAAGCAGTCCGGTGACTGGTTTCCAGAACTGCCTGACCGCATTCTGAGAATGATCTTTTCTTATCTTGTCCCAGTGGATTATGTAAGCTGTGCCATGGTAAATCAAGCCTGGAAAATTGCTGTTGATTTCAATGCGTCTGCAAGTGAACTTGACCTTTCCAAAATTGCGAATCGGTAGGCCGATAACAACTGCAATTCAAATAATCAATTTCTTTAGACGATGGCCAATTAAGGCGTGTATTGTCTCTTACAAAATTGATTAATTACTTGATTAAAATTTCCCCGCCACTCTATCTTTAGAAATTGGATTCGAAATGTTTCATCAGAGTGCATGATAGATTTGTAAAGCTTATTTCCTCAATGATTGTTTGAAGAATTAATTTTGAGCCAACCGCGAATATATAAATGTCTCCTCTGTTAAGTTAGCTTTTGTGAATATATTTTTTTCAAGTACACGAGTAAACTGCGCGCAATCGATAAACATCGCTCACCGAGCTAAAAGTGCATCTATAAATCAATTATTGGCCTTCATTAGTTAATCTCCGATGCCAAAGCGTTCGGAACGCTGTTATAATGAACTCGATTTTGGCCACCACTTAAGCGTCTGTACCCGATTCGACAAATGTAGTCACCTTCCCCTTGAACCATTAAGATCTTTAACTTTGTAAAGAAGTTTATGTTTGTCCAAAAGGTTTAAGCTCTTTTATTAGCGACATGTGTATGGCTCATATAGCACATGTCAATTGTGTTATGAATTCGTTAAGTGTAATGAAGTGAAAATTGGCATAAAATTTTACCGAACCATGGGATCTGGTTTTTTGGTAAAATATTGAAAAATTAAGATTACCTATTTACAATCAACTGAAAATTATTTCC